CATCCAGATCGGCGATAACCTCGACTCGAAAGGCTACGGAATCGGTTTCCCCCAGGGTAAGCAGGTTGTGTGGGGGTGAGGGGGTTGAACTCTGAGAAATCGATATTGTCTGCTATCGAGGCTGATTAGATAAAACAATCGCTTATTGGAAAGTGAGTCAGCAAATGTAAGCGAATTTAGTTCTGATTTATGTAACAAATCAAAGTCCTGTCTTACTATGGCATGATCTCATCAAGCCTACATAACCTGTTAATTACTATGGCTCAACTTAACCGACCAATAAGATGCAAATACCTATGAGGGTTTTCGTCTGTTGTGAATTGCAGAAACATTTTGTTTGTGGCAAGTGAAATGTTGAAGTACTGATGTATTTGAAGCGGCAAAGTCAAGTAAGAATATGCCTGGCCCTGTTAAATGTGCATCACGTCAAGATCAACAATTGTTGTAGGCTCCGGCATGTGGTCTTGTACCACGCCGGGGCTGCTGTCTTGAATTATCCTGTTAGATACCAAAGATGGCAGAGGCAGCCGTTTACTAGATAGCTCAACGGAGTTGTGTTAGTCGCTCCACCGCACATAAAAACGCGTCTGACTCAACTGGGCTGTCGATCAGTACAATCTCGGTAAGTCTGTTAAAGTATGAATGGTAGAACGATAGAACGAATTGAATCGGACAGCATAGGGGGGAGGCAGACATTCCAGGGTGAATGAGCAAATGTCTTCGCATGATCGATAGGATCAGCGTGAAGATGGGGTCACAATGGCGAAAATTTAGCAACCGAGTAAATGGACGTGAATCAGTGTGATTCCCAGTTGCTGATTTGGAGCCACGGCTTCTGTAGCAATAATCGCAACACGAAGTAATATTCTAGTTCCAGACGGAATCTCTTTTCTACACGCCCAACATTTGTACTGCAGGTTCCAAGTACAGGGATGAATTCTCGGAGATCATTCTGCAACTGCAGGAGTCGCAGACACTTGAGCAGATTCGACGCTACTGGTGGCGAAACTTCAGCATAGCAGAGCCCTGTGAAAGCCTTGTGTCGAAGAGCTCGAGTACCACGTCCCTCGGCCACGAACAAATCGGGGGGTGCTTCGTGATGTGCCTGTTTGGGCTCGCGGTCTCCATTCTGATCAGCCTACAGGAGTTCCTCTACAAGGCTTATCTTCGATCGAAAGTGACAAAGGTGGGAGTTGGTTGTACGCGCCCAAATTTATGCTTGGCTAACCAGCTTGCGTAGCTAGGAATTTGTAGACCAATCAAAGAAGACTAATCGGTCGTTTGAGCACACCTCAGTACAAGCTGATGTTCATGGAAGTACCACGGACTTTGTTGGTGTGGTAATCTCCCACATGCTTCTCAAATTACAGGACTGCTTGTATGTAGGCAGATTTCCCGAGGGAGCGATGCTTGATGTCCTTCTTAATATAGTCCCTTCTGGCACCGCGTTCTAAAAACATTTGAAACCCGTGAGTTGATTGGCCAAGGGTTAGCTATTAATCGCCTTCCAGAACAAGAAAGTTTGGCGCATGAGAATGATCTGCTTTACCTGTCAGGATCACGCTTGCCTATTTTAATATGCTTCCCCAGAACACAGACATTAAATCACGACCGTGATTGTCGCACAGTTACCTCGACCAATTTCATATCGTCACTTTTGAAACGAATTTACCAATGCAATGAATCAGAATCAAGTCAGTTCCTTCAATTAGCACTGGAAAGTCAATATTAAACCGGATAGATTAAAATAAAACAACGTCAAAATCGACAAGACGATGAAAATTAGTGCTTTGTGCGATTACTAATCACTTGAGGACAATTAGAGCTGGAGGTTCGAACTTTATTTAAAGGTTTTAGACCTGCCGATAATGAATTTTAAATTAATTACGCTTTCCGGTATCAGTTTAAGAATAATTTCGCCAACCACCACCGTTTGATGGTCCTTATTTTCACAAAACTAACTTTCTTTGAAAATTTGCGAGAATATTTCATGCTTCCACGTGAGTTGACATTCGACAGTCTAATAGCGCTGTTGCCTGCACACTGACGCCGTTCGTACTTTGTCCACTCCGACACAATCAGCTGATTATCAGCTGTTGGAATTTTTGCTTTTTTTGACTCGACAAGATTATTTTCGTTACTTATTTCTAGAAGTTAACGTCTATTACACGGAAAAAGTTACTTCTAATACGTCGTGACTCTCATGTTCTTTAGGCCTTTGCATAATGGAAAAAAAGTTTGCTGCTGAAGTGGCAAGTAACTCTGGTCACCAATGCAGCCAATGGGCTTCGTTAAGTAATGAAAAACAATCTCGAGGGCATTCCATCATTTTTAACTCGCTATCTATGCGTGAAGCGAGTTTACAACTAATTTAGTCGAAAGTTAGTAAAACGGTGACCTCGGGAATTGGCGCGTTAACTGTTTTTGCTCTAGACGATACCTTTTCCTTGCAATCAAACATAGCCGGCATCTTCCAAAGACGGTCATCAGTTGCCGTTATTCTTGCGAACACTACTCTACAACACTCTAGTTATTAACCTGTAGTAGTGTGTGTTTGCTGGCACCATTTCATTGGCTCCTATTAGCAGTCGTCTTTTACGCATGCGGACTCATAAGCACACAAGGATACCTGGCTGGTTTGACGCTAACAAACTGTCGTATCCGCTCCAGCCCGTCTTGTTGTTACGGTTTGTCAATTTGAGGGCTTTTAGTGGTTTGGTCAACACTACCTTACCACCCTCTAGTTAACATTTTGGTACAACCCGAGAATGAGAGAGAGGCGACAGTGGATATGACCGTCTATCAGCGTTAAGCCAGCCAAGTGTCTTTGTGTGCTTAGAAGTACGCGCAAGCACCAGGCGACTGCTAACAGGAGCCAATAACGTAACGGGTGAGTCGTTGATACCCACTGACCAGTAAAAACGCATCAATCACACTCCAGATGGCAGGCAGTCCATTACAAATGTTGGTTTCTCGACCTTTCAGCGCTCCTTCTGCGAAGAAGCAGCCCGCGAGTTTCGTTTTTCAATGGCTTGCTCGAGTACCCGTGACTTCGGTGCCGAGTCAGCTCTGACCTTGCCACCGCCGCCATCCAACTGCGCTCTCACCTCGAAGGAGTGCAGGATCGCAACCCTGGCCTACGCGCCCTGCCTGCCGGCTGTGGTGAAACCCCTGCCATCCATCACGGCGGCAACGGAGGCGGAGGAAACTAAAAGTGCTCAAACTCGCCTCCACAATCCTCGTCCGTCCATGTTCGATGTTGTGCGAATGCTCCGCAGGACGCGTTCTTCCGATCATCCGCAAAAAACCGGTAAACACAGCAACCTTATTGCAGATACGAAGCATAGATTTGATTGGTTGACTTAAATGGGCGCTAATTACCGATGACCTTGAGGAAACCAATCAGCATCAACCTCCATCCAATGGTGTATAAACTAGCGCCATCATAATACTAGTGAAGACGACTCTGGCTGAAGAATGGACAGATGCGTATTCTTTTTGTGTCGAAAATGTGTTTAGAATGCGCTGCTAGAAGTAATTCGTAAGTCCAGATTCCTTGTGCTGTAGATTGGTAATTACGCGGTTACAAATTGATAGCGTACTTCAGAACATTACAACATTTCGTAGATTTGATTTTATTGAAGTTGGCACGCAACAAGCAGCGGTAAAAACTCCTTTGGAATGCTCCAAGCACAAGGCCACAGGTGTCTTGGTTGTGCACGTGTTTAGGGCTTTTTATAAACTGTTGTAATCAAACAACAACTTCAGCGTTTTTTTGTCTCTCTGATGTCCGCGGCGGAATAATTTATGCCTCGGCCAGGGCGTTTACTCACCCAATCGCACAAACACGGCCAAAATTTGCCCCACTGCGTCGTGCGTCAGCTGGTCAAACGTCTGCACATTTTTTTAACAAACTTGCCTGTAAATTGCTGCTGCACGCAACTACTTGGGTCCTTTTAGCTTCTGAAAATGATCAAATTTCAGCTTTTTAGTTTTCTTTCACTTCGAACTAAAGGCCCAAGGAGTTGCTCCACGTAAAGTACATCCTTAAACATCTTTCATGGCGAATTTTATTAGCTTGGGGAGCAAACCAGCCCGTCTTAATTGTAGTCGTTTGTTGCTGCAAATATTCCTCTGGTTGCGTTTTATGTGGTCGATCAAATGGCAACCATTTTCCTTGGCAACAGGCGATACAAAGTTCGATTCTATTCAACAAGTTATGAAAGTAGTCCTACGCCCAACCCTTCAAGACGAAGAAAGTCACATGGTGTCGCGTACATTTTGCTATCTAAGTGGTGATTCGTTTCAACACAAACTCTGTAGTCTCCCCAACATTATGGCTGTCTACATGGGGTAGGTGTCACGTTTTTACCTCGGTATGTTGATGCGATTCCCCAAGCAAATAGCTGTAACCCTTTGCTTGGCCCGTCAAAGGCTTCCCAGAATAAGCAGTCTATGGCTTGTACGAAGGGCTTTGCTGTATAAAAAAAGGCCGAGTACAAGATGGGGCCAACAGTAGACATTTCGTCTAGGTCATAAATGCCGTATGTAGAAATTTTTACTAAAGCTACTGGTTTAATTAGTTAGTTAAGTTATTTAAAGTCGCCTTTAATGCATCATTTGTCAATTTCCATGAGGTTGTGCTGGTACATGTTTAATTGACAGAAAGTAACGTTTCTGTTAGGCATCAGAACCTGTTAAATTCAAAACGTAGCTAATCCTGGTACTAAAAATTAACCATTGTTCCTTTTACTATTGAGGTCAGACCACAAATGTCTTTTCTTTGCCTACAGCTCTTCCTTTGAGTAATTCAGTACCGCTGAATCACCTTAACGGGACTCAATCTCAACATCAATCACCGTCGTTGCCAAGACAACCGTTATGTAATGTGTCCGCGGACGCGGTGCCGAACACGGAGACGGATTCGGCCTTTATTGGGAGTCAAAACGACATCCGATTGCAGAAATTCACATGCTGATATTCAGCCCTAACCAACCAACTCCCTCCCCTCCCGTGCTAATTTGCGTTCTCATCTAAACACGTGATTTCTTCTGGGTGGAGGTGAAAGCAGGACTTGGCGAATGACGCCACCACCTCTGAATTTATTAAACATCCAGATCAACGATTCTAAGTTACCGGTTGATCTTGTGTCAGATTTCTTGTTACTGGCATGTTGGGCCTACCGGTCATAGACTTTTTAATCGATATTTGCAATTCCAGAGATATTCTAGAAACGTCGTATATTACAATCGATCATGAAGATAAGGGATTAAGAATTTGACATTGGGGAGAAAATCCCCCTGAAATCAGAGTAGAGACTCGTTAAGAGACACGTGCGAGTAAGATGCCTACAGATCGATTGATGTCAATGCCTCGCCCTAATCTCTTATTGGCTGCTTTTAGCGATCAATAATCACACAAGCCCACGCAAGGGCGCATTTAGCTGTTAAACGCGAGCAAACAGTCGAGTCTGCTGTCACCTATCCTACTGCTGTTCTTGACTTGTCGGAGACTGTTAACTACAGGGTTGTAGGCTTGTGCACGCAAACACCTCGACCTGATATTGCTATTGCCTGAAATCAAACTTAGCGCCACAATTTGCTCTCTAATATAAACAAGAGAGAGAACAGGTAGTGATTGGGTGCAAGTAGAGGTGTGGATTTTAAATGAATCGTGTGCATGTACAAATATATGAATAAGATTCATAAAAATACATGCGAACATACTGATCAAAACTTACTCAAATGGATCTCAGTTTGCAATCAATCCGTATTTCTCTGGTATGGAAATGCAAGCACAGATTACTTTGTCTCCGAACGTGTAAACTTTTAATTCTTCCATTTCTGTTCATGGTTTAGGGTGATGAAAATTAAATTTTTAGTGACCAGAGAACTTCGTAGAGCTTGGAGAAAGAAGCAACACATTATCTTACCCCCCTGAAGACTGTAAATACTTAGACATTGAGAAAATTACTCCATATGATTTTGCAGTTCTGTGTGGTCATGTTGAGATTTAGTCTACATGGGGGAACATGCATGAACTCTATTTTTACCTGTGAATATGACACTCAGCTTTTGGTATCAAAGTACACGAACCACAAGTCGAATCATGTACTATCGTTTAAAAAAGCATGATTGCCCAATGTCAACTTATACGGCACTGTTGTTGCAGCCATTATGTAACCTTTAATATTGCAAAAAACCGGGTTTAATTGTCATTCTAAATCGTGATTTAATGTCC